TTTAATGTTTCAGAAAATAAATTATACAAATACTTTAAATAGATGGTAGCTATAATCATCCTTGCCAGCCTCTGTGTTCAAGAGGACACTAAACGTAAATAGCATGCCTCTGCAGTCTTCGTCATGGTAGAATTTGCATTCGGGGTGATAGATGAATCAGATGGTGTCATTGCAACTGATGATATAGTTTCTCTAGGCAAATGGCACAATGATTCCACCGCAGAAGGTGGCTTCTCATTTACATTCAAGATGCATCAACCTTTTCAGCACCTTGGACTGTGGAGATGTATATTTAGAGTGAGCCATCTCTTCTTCATCTTTCAAAGGTATGAATACTTAGTTGCATCAGAACCAGTAATAATAAGCCAATCACATTAGTTGGAACGGGTACATGGTGAAAATACGAGCATACCTCTGAATTGTTCTTGACAGCCAGAAATGGACAGAGTGAATCCATGCAAGGTTCAATTTTGATAAGTTCACCTTCCAATTCCGGGAAAACAGTTGAAGGATCATTGGTAAGGAAGGATTTGCCCGAAATGGGAAAAGATGTCAATTTACTGTACAAAAGTGAAATTTTCGAAGTCTTCCAACAGCATTAAAATGTCATTGTTTGTTAATCTCAAGACAAACATTTATTAGCTTGAACAAAGTCTCCTTAACATCGATTTGGCTTGTATAAAGAAGGCGGAAGAGAATACGAACATTTTGTTAAAGCCATATAAGCAACCTCGGCAGCATAATACCTGAAGACTAGTAAAGAGCACTGAAATGCTATTCCTAGACTTACAATGTATCCTGAATGAATGTAAATCCGAGTTCAAGTAGAAAGCTTCCCAGGACTTTCTAAACAGCAAACCCTCTCTTGACATTAATGCAGCCTTCTCAAGATCTTCAATCTCATCGTTAATAGCCAAAACAATTTGATAACAAGTCTAAAATCTGAAAAGCAATAAAACATCAGTCAACATAGATGTGTGTGATGCCAAATGGGGGAAAGAAAAGCGTTGAAGCTTAAGAATACAAACCTCGGTTTGTCATCTCAGTTTAAAATGGTAACACGGCCTGTAAGCATTCCCTTCATTGGGCGCTTTCTCATGCTTTGTGCAGTGAAGACCAGAACACAGTCATTTGTTTTGTGTGACTGACATCCATAATTCGAGGCTTAACAGCGGCATCCATAACATTAAACCCATTCTTCCGCTGTAAAAGCTTCTCCTGGAGTTTGACTACTTTGCTGGTTTCCTCTGTAAAAGGAATAACCACACTAGTATATAGTGAACTTGTTAGACTTGTATTCTAGTCGAAATTTTCTTATCTCTAAAGTCGCATTTTATTCTAGTCGAAAGTTTTATAATCTCTAAAGCCACATTATATTCTAGTCGAAGTTTTCTTAGCTCTAAAGTCGGAGAAGAGTATTGTTTCCTGGAGAATAATATACCAGCCATGCTTCACTCCGTCATGGAGAAATAAGCTTCTCATCTGACAGGAAGCTGTTATTGATTCTCAAAATGATAGAAAATGATAACACCTGACGACTACTAAACACCACTGAAAAAACTATTCTTAGACTTTTGATGTGTATAGAAAAGAAAACTCACATCATTTCTCATATTAAGAGTGAAATAAAATATGATATCCAAGATAAAGTAGAGTGGCATAACAATCAAACATTAGAACCGATGTACCTCCTCAATAAGCTTACTTGGATGTTCTAACTGCCATTCTTTCACCTTCTGCATTTCCATTAGATGAGATTTCCTTTGCAGAGGTAAAAGGAAATTACATCATAATGGTAAATATAGCTGAATAAACCAAGTGAAATAAATATTCACTTATTACTTCCCGAGTGAAACTATGGTATCATCCCCAATTGTGAAAATTCACTGGGTTTGTTGTTGTTGAGTGAGTGAAACTGTGGTATCATGTTAAACAAAGAAGGATCCTCGGCGATAAGGTGTATAAGTAACTTTGTTGTACCTGCATCAAATGAGAAGCCCCTTCCAGTCATTTCCTTCAAAAGAGTTGTCATTTCACTAGTTCTGCGAAACTTGAGAAATCCTTGAACAATAATATTGTACGTGGCATTATCTGGAGAACAACCATTATCTTCCATTTTTTTAAGCATATCTTTAGCTTCATCTAACAACCCTTCTAGACAAAACCCATTTATTATCATACTGTAAGTTATCACATTGGGAGACAATCCAATTAAAGGAAGCTTCTCAAAAATACCACGAGCTTCGTCGATCTTACCATTTCTACATAATCCGTCAATTACAATACCGTACAGTTCAATATCAATATCTTCTCTCTTTGCTTCCCACTCATGAAATAGCAACATAGCTTTCTCAACAAGTCCATTCTGGAAATAACCATAGAGCAAAATCCGATTAGTGCATATATCAGGCTTGAGCCCCGTAGATAGCATCTCAGCAAAGAATTTTTGCACAATGTCAGTTCTTCCAACTTCAAATAGACCTCGGAAGATAGTATTGTAGGTAATAATGCTAAATTTCAATCCGTTTCGAGAAATTTCATGAAACAAATGCATGGCCTCATCCAATTTCTTTTTCTTACAGTATCCATTTATTAATATATTATAGCTAATAATGTCAGGCTTAATGCTCTTTTCAATCATGGAATCGAAAAGTCTCCTTGCTCTATCCATTTGACCGCGCAAGCAATATCCATCAATTATCACATTGTAGGTGATTACATTAGGCTCTACGCCTTTTTCAATCATGTGTCTCATTACCTCCTCAGCATATTCAACTTTCCCTTCTTTGCATAATCCATCTATAACTATGTTGAAGGTGCAGACATCTGGATAAATATTCAGATTTACCATTTCTAAGAACAAATTCCTAACCTTTTCCCACTTACCAAACTTACTAAGACCATCAATCAATGAATTATAAGTGACAACGTCCGGAGGAATGCCTTTTTCTTTCATCTCTTCAAAAAGGCTAATAGCAGCATCTAACATCCTATCTTTGCATAGGGCATCTATAACAATGCTATAGATGTATGCATTGGGCTTAGTGCTTCCTTGCTCCATTACCCTAAGCAAATCGAACGTTTTTTGAGTATGACCCCTTTTGCTAAGCCCATTCATGACAATTGAATACATGAATTCATTAGGCTCACAAATATTCTCTCTCACCAACTTTTTGAACAAGTTAACCGCATCTTTTATCTTATTTTCCGCAAAGAGTCCCCTTAGTATGGTGCTAAAGGTGACGACATCAAATGGAATGCCATTCTTCAAGTAAATGGCTAACACTGAAAATCCGCAGTCAGAACGATGCATTAGGCAATAATTGTTGATCGCGATACTCAAGATGAAACCATCAATTGGGATATTAGATTTCAGCATTTGTCGAAAAAGGGAAAGAACAGAAGAGTAATGCTTCATATTTACCATAGTCTTTAATAATTTGGAGAAGCTAAAAACAGAAGGAAGGGGCTGTGTTCTGACCATTCGACGGAAAAGACTCAGAGCATCATCTAAACACTTGACATTCACAATATTTCTATGAGATGAAGAATAATATCTGGTTGCCGAAGCAGAACGTGAAATAGCATAAGATGAGATACCATTGGAAGAGTAACGCAGCCGAGAAATTCTCGTCATCTGATTGCAATTGCCGACGGTAAATTCTGTGTGCGATATCTGTGCCCTAATTGAAGAAGGAGCTGAAATGCGACAATGGGCTGTCGAGTTAATTATTAAGTACCCTTATTGACAGTTAGACCCTCTTCATGTTTATTATTTCCACATTTGGCTAGTCATTTTAGTGCCTTTTTTCACTTTTAGTCCTCACGTGTTCTAAGTGGAAGAAGGGATATTAAGCTTAATTTAGTCTTCAGAAAATTTGTTTGGTTGGATTTTTAATTTTAGCATAAGCAATCTTGAAATTAGTTTATATATTTTATATTCTTAACCAATCTTAATTCACATTATTTCAACTTTAACTTGAAATAGAGAATTTAAAGTTGAAAAACTAGTTTGAAGAATATTTTTAGCGAAATCACTCACGAAACTTGGTAAAAGTTTACATGCACCCAATATTTACACCAAATATATATTAATTTATCGTGGTTAAATTATAAATTAAGATCAAAATGTGTGCTACTTAACTATGATAGGAGTATATGTGAAAACATGTATCATATTTTTTATTGAGATGGTGTGAATATTATATTCATAAGTTTTACCACTAAAATAAACTTAACAATAGGGATGTAAATAGGGGTGGACATGGTGGGGCAAGCTTTGCCCTACTATTAGGGGTGTGCGTTATTCTGATTAAACTAAAAAATCAAATCGAAATTTCAATTTGGATTGATTTTTGGTTTGTTGGATTGAGAAATTAAAATTTTTAATTTTTTGGTTTGGTTTCGAATTTAAGAGAATACAAATCGAAAAAACAAAAAAAAAAATCTCTATATATATATATATATATGAGTTATGATTTACAATTTATAGGAGTTAGAGTCTGAGTATTTTGTCACTTTCAACCTTGTTTATTTATTGGCATATTTGTACTAGGGTATATAACACCCCATTCTTCATCTTTAAAATATAACCCTTATTCGTCTTTACTAAGTAGTATTTTGATTGCGAAACTTTGTCAGAATTTTCACTGTTTCTTCAGGCTTTAATGTTTGCAAGCAAGCTTATTGAACTTGAATTATGATTCAGATTTTGAATTTTATGTTTGGACATGTTACTTTTAAATATTATATGTAAAAGTTTTACCCATGACTAATATTAAAAATTATATTCAAGAAATCTAAATATTATTACTTTTCATTCTCTGTAATATTTATTTTTTTGGTTATAAAATATAAATATTCAATTATCTTAGTTATCTTATATGACAACCAAATAACCAAGTCGGAAAATCAACAAATCAAACTTATTTTGGTTAGGATTGGATTGCACTTTGTCAAAATAAAAAATCGAAAAATCCAAAACCAAACAACGGAAATAGTAAGAGAACATCAGTACATAATGCAGTAAATAGTGTATGCAAATGAAAAGTGTGAATACATGTATATATCATATTACATAAAACATGTGTATGCACATGACCCATATAATGCCTATATGCAGTACAACCGTAATACCTAATCAAACCAATGCCAATGCATTGGCGTCAACATAGCAACTAGCAGGTATTGTGTCGGGACTCGAACGCCACGTCTTAACAACGCAATGCACCCTCGTATCCATAGCATATGACGACAACGGCGTCTAATAACGCATTTCTATGGTACACTAAGACTCGAATCAATGTCTTACTCAAATATCTTGGGATAATATGGCCACGCCATCATAGAAATGCGTTAGGGCTTGAACCTAACGTCTTTATCGGCACCTCACAACTAATAGGAAGCACAATAGTACCCGTGGGGAAGACCTTATCTGTAATGGATTGGTACACTCTGACCCTGTTACAAAGGAGGTAACTTTTGGTTTCTGCGGTCTTCCTCGTGCTAGAATTTGCATTCGAGACAGTAGAAGGAACGGGATTGTGTCGTTGCAGCTGACAGTTTAGTTTCTCTAGGCAAATGGCACAACAATTCCACTGAAGTACTCATAAGATGCAGTAACCTTTTCAGCACCAGTGGACACTGTGGAGATGTATGTTTACCTGGAAGACACAAAAATATTAGTAAAAGCTTTCTAGATGCAAAAAACACACTACAGAGAGTATAAAACAAAAAAAGGTGTCACAATTGATAAAGCAGAATAGTGTCCACCAAATATCTAAGTGCTTGTTGTTTGAAGCAAGGTTTTACAATAGAAGGAAATTCTTTTATTCTAAATGAAGGATGCTTGGATGAATAAGCAGCAAAAACAATGGTATGACGCCAAAATCTCAAAAAGATTTGAATTTTTTTTAAATCAAAGTAACAGAACATCTTACGCTTTTCACCTTGCTTGATCTCAGAAGTATTTAGATTATCCTGCAGACTTTGGCTGTTTGGCATGCTTCCTCAACTTGTACATGTTTTCTCTGCTTCTGCTATTCCTCTTCTTCAAAGTTTTTTGCTTTCATGTTCCATTATCTATTATATGTCCGCAAAGAAATACCCCCCCACCCCCACCCCAAACACCAAAACAAAAGTTTCAATTCATGGTTCATGCATCAAGTATGTTCAAATGAGAATGTGTCTGAAATGGTTGTCATGTGTTCCATAACTTCCAAATGCACCAATCTGCATACGCAATGTAATGGTAATTAAAGTTGTTAAAATCAAAAGAAATAGACCTAAAATCATATGAAAGGAAATTGTCTCAAAAGACCTACAATATTCCGGAATCCATATGGACTTAACTGAGGGGAAAGAAAAGAACAAATAGAAGTAAAGGACCCATATAATTTATATAGTTAATTGAGATAAAGGTTTAGTTATTCTTCTTGCACTAACACTAGCACGCGTATTTAACAGGAATCTGTTTTGTTTGGAATGAAATGAACCACAATAAAACAACTCTGAAACTGAAAGGTAGTTGACTAACTGATAGATAAATATCTACATACTAATTTGAAGAGAAAAATCAAAATACATATTAGTTATAAGTTTTAGGATCATGTAGAGGGTAGATAAACAATTTTTAAAGAACATACAAAATACACTTTGATTAGAGGAGCCGGTATAGCAATCTTAGACAATTTGCCGGAACTCAGAAACCTACATACTATTTCTTGAAGAAGAGTATTCGCATATAACAGTAAAACAGTTATAGCAATTTCAAACAGACTTCTCGTTGGATCAATTAAGGTAATTCAAGCTCATTTGGTGTTGGCCAACTGTGCAAGGGGGAGCTTAGTAGCACCTACCATGTTGCTGAGTGCAGGCTTAACTTCAGTATGCATGCACATCTTAAGGCCACCATCGGGGTTGACTGAGAGGATGTTGGCATCAAGGACTGCAAGTATTTTGCTGATTCTGTCAGCAATTTCTACTGTTGATTCAATGTTTGGCGAATGGATGCGTATAATCCAGCACCGTACTTCACTCCCCCGCGGAACACAGAAAGAAGCTTCTCATCAGACCTGGATTCCTCGATGGTGATCACGCTAGCATCCATGTCCTTAATGGAATAGCTCATGTCATTGAAGTTTGAATAGCACATGCGAGTGTGAATCTGTCACAAAAAATGGCAAAGATGATTAGAAACACGTAAAAGAAGAAAAACCTACTCTTTTTTTAATAATCGAGAAATCCCCGATGGTCAACTAATGCATGGTTTGAAACTCAGTGGAAAATGACCCCGCCCATCTACCTTTCTTCACTTAAATAACAAAGTTCTGTTGCAGTAAGGTTCGAACACGTGACGTGCGACTAACATCACGAATTGCGCTCTTACTACTGAACCAAAGCCCAGTGGACAAAGAAGAAAAATACTACCTTAAACGAAGAACTTCCCCAATAACACAAAACACCTCCCCGTTCTATCCAGCTCTTAAAATTACTGGACAACTACTGGAAAGAAAGAACAAATTTCACATATATGAAGTTGCTTATAATCTTTCAATCCCCTTCTTGCAATACTGTGGCCATAATAATCTCACTAATACATATAATTACCACAGTTCATGTGAGGGATTCAATATTTCATAGACAACAAAATATCTTAAACCATGACGAAGCTACACATGGAAGCATGATCATAGTTCAAAATTCAAAATTAGTACAAAAAAGCAAAGAGGTATCACCTCTTTCTCTAATAATTCCAGCAATTGGTTTATTTTCCTCAGTTTCCAAAACCACCAGAGGCTCCAACAATACGGTTTGTATTCTGCATTGAAGCAAACAATCAGTTATCTCAAATCCTCACTACAGAAGCAACGTTACATAAGCGTGAATATAAATACAAAATGTAAATTTACCCGCTGCACAGCATCATAACATAGTATCATCTGTTGTGCACAGCATCATCTTTCAAAATGTCAGATATTGTCGTGCTTTAGAAGACCATGTCCTTCCATACAAGCAGCTGAAGTCGAGTCATAACATGAAAACATAAGTGGCTGCATTGCTGGATTCAGTAAGCGGAGATGTCTTAGAACAGCATTCTTGATTACATTTCCATGAAAAATGATTGCTTGAACTCCTAGCTCCTTGAATTTTGCCTATGAACACCATCTTTTGGATTTAGACAGATTTGTTTATAATAGCAGCCTAAGGTCTTGCTCTAAAGATCCTTGTGATAGCGACTATCAGGCAGGAAAAAAAAATCTAACTAGATGAAAGCTATCATAATTTAAACTTAATAGTTAAAATACACAGTCTAAAATAAAGAAACAAAAAAATTACAGCCGCAAACAAATTTCTACGTCTTCAAAAGAAATCAGTTCCCTCCATCTTCTAAGTTAGTTGACAAGGATGATGCATAGTACAATCCTTTTTGAATTAGTCAAAGGACCAATGAACTTTTCTCTGACAATAAATTGCTCTATGAAAATCTGAATTCCCAATAGGCATCCAGTACTCTTGGATCATAGATAAACTTCCAAATATATTCTTAAGTAATTCAAATATAATGTTGACCCTTCATCTATAGTATATCCTACATCAGGTTTGAACAAGTTTTATTTCAATTTCAGGAAAACCAAAATTATTCATACTATATGGTTCTAGTGTTCTTTATGGTTGATGTAACTATGACCTAGAAACTATTAAAAAGATTGTTTCCAGAGCAATTTTCTCAGTTACAGAAAATGATTATTGATTCTTAAAAAAGATAGAAAATGATAATAGATGATGATACTAATAGCACTGATATTCCGAAACTTAATAAGTCTACACGCAAGGAAACTCATCATTCTCTCTTTTCTTTTTATCAGCATACTCATCATTATTTCTCTTACCAAGAGTGCAATAACATTTGATTTCTAAGATAAAGAAAAGTCGAAAAACAATCGAAATATCAAATTGATGTACCTCCTTAATAGGCCCATCAGGAAAGCTCTTTCAGCTCACTCAATTGCATACAACGTGATTTCTTAGAGAGGTAAAAGGAATTGTATCACAGTGATAGTGTAGCCGAATAAACCAAGCGAAATAAATATTCACTTCCTATTTTTCTAGTGAAGCTCTGGTATCATGTCAAGGACAGGAGGATTCTCCCTTATAACATTTATCAGTAACTCAGTTGTAGCTGCATCAAATGAGAAGCTCTTTCCAGCCATTTCCTTCATAAAAGTTGTCATTTCACTAATTCTCCTGCGCTTGAGAAATCCTTGCATAATAACATTGTAAGTGACATTGTTAGGCAAACAACCATTATCCTCCATTTTTCTTAGTATATCTTTAGCTTCACCTAACAACCCTTCATGACAAAATCCATTTATCATTGTATTGTATGTTGTCGCATTTGGAAGTAATCCAATTAAAGAAAGCTTCTCAAAAATAGCATGAGCTTTGTTAAGTTTACCATTTTTGCACAATCCATTAATGACAACATTGTAAAACATAATATCAATATCTCCTCTCTTTTTTTCCAACTCATGAAATAGCAACATAGCTTTCTCGACAAGTCCATTCTGAAAATAACCATGGAGCAAAATGCAATTAGTGCACAAATTAGGTTTGAGCCCTGTAGAAAGCATCTCAACAAAGAATTTTTGTGCAAAGTCAGTTCTTCCAACTTCAAATAGGCATTGCAAGATAGTACTGTAGGTAACGATGTCAGGTTCCAATCCATTTCGAGAAATTTCATAAAACAAATGCATGGCCTCATCCAATTTCTTTACCTTACAATATCCATTTATTAATATGTTATAGCTAAAAATGTCAGGCTTAAAGCTCTTATCAATCATGGAATCGAAAAGGCTCCTTGCTCTATCCATTTGACCGCACAAGCAATATCCATCGATTATCACATTGTAGGTGACCACATTAGGCTCCACACCTTTTCCATTCATGAGTCTCATTACCTCCTCAGCATCTTTAACTTTCCCTTCTTTGCATAGTCCATCAGTCAGTATGGTCAAGGTTTGCACATCTGGATAAATATTAAGATTTACCATTTCGAAGAACAAAGTCCTAACCTTTTCCCACTTACCAAACTTACTAAGACCATCAATCAATGAATTATAAGTGACAACATTTGGAGGAATGCCTTTTTGTTTCATTTCTTTCAAAAGGCTAATTGCAGCATGTACCATTCTATCTTTGCATAAGGCATCTATAACAATGCTATAGATGCATGCATCGGGCTTAGTGCTTCCTTGTTCCATTACCCTAAGCAAATCCAATGTTTTTTGAGTATGACCCCTTTTGCTAAGCCCATTCATGACAATTGAATACATGAATTCATTAGGCTCACAAATATTCTCTCTCACCAACTTTTTGAACAAGTTAACCGCATCTTTTATCTTATTTTCCGCAAAGAGTCCCCTTAGTATGGTGCTAAAGGTGACGACATCAAATGGAATGCCATTCTTCAAGTAAATGGCTAGCACCGAAAATCCGCAATCAGAACGATGCATTAGGCAATAATTGTTAATCACTATATTCAAGATGAAATCATTAATTGGGATGCCTAATTTCCGCATTTGTCGAAAAAGGGAAAGAACAGAAGAGTAATGCTTCATATTTACCATAGTCTTTAATAATTTGGAGAAGCTAAAAACAGAAGGAAGAGGCTGAGTTCTGACCATTTGACGAAAGAGACTCAAAGCATCATCTAAACACTTGACATTCTCAATATTGGTATGAGATGAAGAATAATTTCTGATGGTAAATGCCGAACCGCAACGAGAAATAGCAAAGGAAATACCATTGCAAGAGCAACGCAACAGAGGAATTGTCGTCATCTTCAATTTGGCTGAGGATGGTGCTCTGCTCTATCTCGGTGTGCCCTAATTTTGCGTAACAACTACTACAGTTTATGAGTAGAGAGAGTCCGAAGTACAAAATGCTTTTTCCCTTCAACAATGGCACTAAAAATCAAACTCGCCCTTAACTTTAAATAATTATCATTCTCCCCCTATATATTGCATAATATTTTACCCTTGTTATTTTGAATTTCCTCCTTTACGTAATACTTTTTTTATTATTTTACTAGTTTCTACGTACATATTTCACACCTAAAGCCCCAACTGAAAAAAGAGATAAGAAAACAGAAAACAAAAAAAGAGAGATTATAACTTGTTTCTCTCCTAAGGGTGTTAAATGGGTCGGGTTAGCCCGGTTCCGGACCGGCCCAGACCGGTTAAAACCGGAACCGGCCCGGTCCAATAGAAGGGAGCTGGGTTGGGTTGGGTTAAGGGTGATTCTCAGTTTGCACCATTCACCTACGATATACCGGTTACCCGGATCAGTATAACCCGATCGATGAACAGTGTTATGAAACCGGTTAATCGGCCCGGAGCGGCCCAGACCGGTTTAACGGAAAAAAATAATTTTTTTTTAAAATTGGGCCCAGATCTGACTGTTGGCAACTGTCAATTTCATAAAATGGTCGTTGCCCAACGGCTAAATTGCACAAATAGCTCAATTTTGGTTTTTTTTTTTTAAATTAACCCCCCTTTGAAAAACTATAAATACCCCCTCCCCCTCTTCCTCATTTCTTCACACTCATCTCTCAATTCTCATTTCTCAATCTCAATTCTCAAATCTCAATTCAAGTTAAATCATGCCTCGTACTTCTAGAGTGCGCTCATATGTTTGGTAACACTTTGAGGTGGTAGAAGAAAATGAAGAAGGTCAGAAAGTAAAGTGCAAGAACTGTGATCAAGTCTTAAATCTTCGTTCAAAGTCTGGCACAGGCAGTTTAAGGAGGCATATAAAGTATTGTCTTGAGCGTCCTCCGAAAAATCGTATTTAAGATTTTGAGAAAATTTGTGTTGTTTTAAAATTATTAGACGTATTTATGCTTAATGTTTTAGTTTGTTAGATTAATTTGAAATATTATTAATTTATTATGCATGAAAATTTAGTTTTACTATTTTTTTGTTAATTTACTTTTTAAATGCAAACTTCAATTTTGTAATTTTGAAATAAATGTAGCACTTGCAATTTATAAGTGCAATTTTTTCCCATCTTTCTTGTATTCTTTATATTTTTACTTTTATGAATATAACTTACAATAGTTATACAAAATACAAAAAAAAATAAAAAAAAAATATAAACCCGGCCCGGCCCGGCTCCCTCAACCCGTAACCCTTACGGTTCAATTTTTACCCGAATGAACCCGAACCTGTTAAACCCGGTAAGCCCCAACCCGTAACCGGCCCGGACCATAACTCGTACGGGTACTAAAATTCCCTACCCAACTCGGCCCGGCCCACCTATTAAACACCCATATTCTCTCTTATTCGTCCTTATTCTTCTTTTGTATCTTTTTCTTTCTCTCTTAGATAATACTAAGATTTACTTGATTTCGATTAATATATTATTTTTTATTAAAACAAAATGTTCTTCCATTATTTAAGAAAATATGAATCAAATCGATATGAATAAATTTATCTCGTGTTTATTTCATTATGGTAATTAATGCATGCTTAGATTAAACTAGTTCTTTTTCATATATTTGTTCTCGACTTAAAACTAAACTCTAATTGCTCTCATACATACATTTAAATAAGATCAATTGAAACAGCATTGTAATTACATAAAAGTCCCAAGCCCCGATTACAAGGGTGCATGCTTGATTAATTCCTCGATATAATAATTATGTCCTACGATCGGCACTCTTTTTATTAGAATTCCATTTTAATTCTTAGAAATTTGTGTCACAAACCAAGAGGCTCATTTGATATGCCGAACTTTTTATCACGTTAATTTATTTATCATACTCAGGCTTGATATTTCTATAAACTCTTTGTCACGACCCTAACCCTGAACCCGATCGTGATGGCGCCTCTCGTGAAGACAAGGCCAGCCAATTAAACCCATTTCAGTTTTTAAAACATTTAAACAATATAAAAGCAGTCTATACATGATTTAACAATAATAAGTAGCGGAATACAACCCGACACAGCCCTAACCGGGGTGTCACAAATCATGAGCATCTACTAGGGTATAAATACAACTAAAGGTCTGAAATATACAAAAAAACAAGACTAATGAATGAAAGGGAGAGAAGCGGTGCTGCGAACGCCGGCAGCTACCTTGCTAAACTCCGATGACTCTACCTTCGATCAGCCAAAATCCGCTACCGGGTGCATAAATACCTGAATCTGCACATAAGGTACACGGAGTAAAGTGAGTACTCCAACTTAGTGAGTAACAAATGTAAATAAAGACTGAAGGCAAGAAATCACGTAAAACATATCAAGATGATGTATAGAAGCAGTTCAAAACCAATAAGAAAACAATGAAGCTATAAAATCCCTTAAAACATCTTAGCTCAGTTTAAAGTTATTTGAAAATAGCTTTATCAACAGTTACGCAAATGATTGCAAAACAGTTAGTGCAGATAAGCACAGAAATCCACCCCTCGGGCACAAATACCACAGTTTAACAGGTAAAATGGCAAGTAAATATGAAAGATAAAAACATAAAGGTTCGCCCCTCGGGCAAAAATGTCAACAACTTCGCCCCTCAAGCAATATCTCAGAACAATACCAGCCCCTCGGGCAATAACATAGAACGGTACCAGCCCATCGGGCAATCACATAGAACAATACCAGCCCATCGGGCAATCACATAGGACAATATCAGCCCCTCGGGCTATATCTCACATCACAATGGGTACCCGCGCTCACTGGGGGTGTACAGACTCTGGGAGGGGCCCTTTATGACCCAAGCGCAATATCAAGTCATCTCGTGGCATCAAATCTAGGCCCTCAGCCTCATATCAGTCAAGCCACCTCGTGGCGAATAAATGTATCTCAGACTAGGGGTGTCAATGGATATTCGAAAACCGACTATACCGACCGAACTGTACCACACCGAACTGATTTTTAGGTTTCTTTTTAAGAAACCGTAGGTTTTTATATAAATCTGTAAATGCACCGATAATTAGGGTAGGTTTTTTATTTTATAAAAATAAACCGAAAAAATACTGAACCGTACCGAATAAATTTTACATATAGAAAATATATTTATTTAGTAAGTTTAAAAGTAATAATGCATTAAATTTTCTTTGAGCCTTGGAATTATGAAAATTATTATAAGCCAACAAGTAATTAAACTCAAAATACTAATTTTTAAAACCTATTATGCTACTTCTACTTAAACTAAGTTATTTCAAGTATCTTTATTAGTAAGACACAAAGTATTCTAGCGATTATGAGTAGCAAACTACAATGTATTGAATATGTTTCCTTTCATATAATTTGGATTTATCTTTTTGAATATTTAATCTTCTATAGATTTTATTCTTGAGTCCCAGCTTGATATATCTTTTAACTCGTGTGATTTATATTTTCTTTGCCTTTATTTGATTTCTTTTACGTTGTTGTAGAATAGTTGATGGATCTATACTCTAGCCATCTCTTCTTTTTTTTTAATTCATCACCCTTTAAACAATAAAAATGTCTAGATAGTTTTGCTAAGTCTAATAAAATAATGTATGTTATTGCATTCTACTTCTACTGGTGAATTTTACATGATATAAAAAAAATACCGAAAATTAACTGAACCGTACCGATACCGAAGAGAAACCGACATGATTGGGACGGTTTAGAAAAGTCTAATTTTGGTTATAGATAATAGAATAACCAAAAAATTGGTATGGTACAAATTTTATAAAATAACCGGCCGAACCGAACCATTGACACCCCTATCTCAGGCCCTCGGCCTCATATCAATCAAGCCACCCCGTGGCGAATAAATGTATCTCAGGCCCTCAGTCCCATATCAGTATAAGTGTATCCTCACATTTGGCCCTCGGCCGTACTGAGTCCGAAAATCATCACAAGCCCCTCGGGCATTAGTAAAACAGTAGTTCTCAGCCCATAACATCATTTAAAATATCATTTAAGTTTCAAAACTGAGTAAAAATGACTGAGTATTAAAACAGTGGAAAACAGCATGACTGAGTTCAAGTAATAAGTTAAAACAGTGAGGAAATACTGATAAAAGAATCCATGAAAGGTTCAAATAGTTGGCACGAAGCCCAAATATGGTAATCAGCCCAAAACATGATGATAGCAAATAAGTTTCAGTCAAATACGCGGTAAAATCATCAGTCGGGACGGACCAAGTCACAATCCCCAATAGTACACGACCCCACGCTTGTCATCAAGCATGTGTATCACCTCAACATAGCACAACGATATGCAAATCCGGGGTTTCAAACCCTCAGAGCATCATTTACAATCATTACTCACCTTGAACCGGCTAAATCTCTAGCTCGTGACACCTTTGCCCCTCGAATCGGCCTCCACGCGCGTCGAATCTATCCAAAAATAGAACGAATACGTCACAATATGCTAAGGGAACAAAGCCCAAGCGAAAACAATCGAAAAATACCCAAAAATCTCGAAATTGGCAAAACCCGAGCCCCGGTCCCACTTCTCGAAACTTAGAAATTTTTACATCAACGGGTTCCTTATCTCCCCACGAGTTCATAGACAACAAAGTTCTCAAATCCGACCCCAAATGGTCCTTCAAATCCCAAATCAAAAGTCCAATTTCTCAAGCCCTAATTCTTCAATTTTAGGCTTAGTTTTCATGATTTTCTAGGTGGAATTCACATAATAATCGAGTTTTTAGTCCAAGAATTTTACCTCCAGTCGATTTCCCTTGAATCCCTCTTTACTCTCCTTCAAGAATCTCCAAAAATGAGCAGTTATGGGTGAAAATAGACTCAAAAATCGCGGACAAGACGACTTAAAAAAACATTCTGCCCGGGCCTGACTTTCCTTCATCGCGATCGCGGCAATTCCCTCGTGATCACGAAAAACAAATTTTAAACTCCTCAAAATAATCCTATGCGATCGCGACATAGCCTACGCGAACGCGATGCTTCTTCCTCCA